ACCTCGGTAGCCTGTGTCCGTCGTCTGTGTGCGTACTTATTTTGTGTATCGGGAGGTATAACTGACCCTCTTCCATCTTCTCCCGCAGGGAACAAGAAGAAGTATTGTGACGCTGCCAAGGAGAGAGTAATGGACGTGATAGAGACGGCCAGGCGCAAGCAATGCGAGCTGCACAGCGCCAGCTTTCAGAGCGGACAGCCCGCCTTGGGGACGGAACCTCCAGACACTTGGGTCTACCCGCTGGTGCAAATGAGGCCCTTTGGTATCCAGATAGACGAGCTGGTTACAGAAACGTTACTGACGGAGGCCGAGCGAGGAGACCGGCTGCATCTGACCACCGGCTATTTTAACCTGACTCAGGGGTACATGGACCTAGTACTGGGCACCCGGGCCGACTACAACATCCTGCTCGCCTCTCCGGAGGTCAATGGCTTTTATGGGGCTCGGGGTATCGCAGGTGCCATACCATCCGCCTACGTGCACATAGAACATCAGTTTTACAACGAAGTCTGCCGAAAGAGACAGAACCATCGGGTCCAGCTGCGGGAGTACTTTCGAGACCAGTGGACATTTCATGCTAAAGGTGAGCACAGCGGTAAGGCTTAAAGTAGAACTTTGGCGTAATAAGTCCATCTGCACGTACAGGTTTAGTCCCACAAAGACCTGTTGATCCTTCTGCAGCTTCCAGTGCTGGTGTGTCAACAATGCTGCACTGCTGCTGAATTCGGAGCAGAGTTGTCACTCGTATGTAGCCCCCTTGTTAGCCCCCCTATGTGATGGCAATAAGGTTAGTGTAAAAAAAAAAAAGTGTTCAAAAATATTAATACAAATGTTAAAGTCCCCCACGTGCATGCACATACACACGCAAACACGCGCCGGTGCACCTACGCGCGAAAACGATCATTGCGCTCGTACGACCGGCTTCTCTGGTGTCGGCGGGGAGGTGGGGGGGGGGAGGACGGACCCCCGTTCCCCGTGAACCTCCGTTCACCGATCCCCTCCCCGTTTTCTATGGGACCGGGAGCGATGCAGATTGCTTCACTTCCGCTCCCTGAGCTGTCATTGGTCGGCTCCTGAAGCCTGCGATCTGCACTTCAATAGCTTATTTGGCATGTAAAGGTGACACTAGGGGTCTTTTGGACCCCCATCATCACCTTAAAGAGTACCAGTCACCACCATCTGATATCACATGGGGGGCTTGTAAGCTTAAAAGTAAATAAAATAAATCTAAAAATAATGTAAATGTTTTTTTTACAGTCCCGGCAAGCACGCGCGCCGCCACTTAAACACGCGTCGGGTGCGCCTACGTATGAAAACGACTAACGTGCTAAACATGTTGGGTATCGCCGCGCACGCCGGAGTGAGAACAATCATTCTAGGGCCAGTATTTTTGAGTATCTCTAAATTGATGACCTGTGGGGGGCTTTGAAAGTGTCGTCTATGGACTTTTTGGGGTACTGAAGTTTGTTGCCGTTTCACGGACGCACACAGTTTTTAACCTGGGCATGTCGGGTATCTATGTACTCGTTGTCACCTCATCTTTTATATTTTATTAACAAAATGGGTATTTTATTGTGTTTTGGGTCATTTAAAGGAGAACTATGGGGTCAGGGTTTTTCCCCATAGTTCTCAGGGTAACGGGAGGACACAAACTAGCGTCCTCCCGTCACCCTAAGCTCAGTATACCGCGAGCTACAGCTCCCTATATACCGAGACGCCGCAGCTGAAGTGGATCCCGACAATTATGTCTGGATCCGCCCAGCTGCATGAGTGACAGCTGGCTCTGCCTATCTAGAGGCAGAGCCAGCTGTACCCGCCCCCTCCCCCGTCCGTTCCGCCAGTCAGCGCTGGC